GGCTCCATGCCACAAACCTCCCTTGGTTTAGGAGGAAGTTCAGGTGCTGGTTACATCACCCGCCGAGGGCTGTGTCAAAATCCAAGTGCCACCACAAGTGAAAGCAAATTGCTTCAACTGCCTGCAGCGCTTTGATGTCCAGGCAAGAATTCATCCCTCAGGCTGCAGAACCCAAAGGTCCAGATGAGTCCAGCACGTTTCCGAGAGAGCTGGAGCTGGTGGGAACCACTCCCCAGCCAGAGTTTCCTTGCTAAGGGCGAGCTAGCCTGCCCCAGAAGAGCTATTAAGTCAACAGAAACTCAACAGAAAATAGCCTTTTGTCCCCTGGGCCAAAAGGCACCTGCCATCAAACACAAGCCCTCAGCCCTGACCTCTCTTCTGACACTGGACAGCCAAGGGTCAGGTTCAGTTGCTCTAAAGGCTTTATTCCTACTGCAGAACATCACCAACGAGGTCCGTCGCATTGAACCTGAGAAAACGAGGAAGATCCAGGAGTGCGAGGTCTTCATCGAATCCGTGCCGAACACTGGCAGCGCCACCTTGGTTAAGAACAAGGTGGAGAATACCAACAAGAAGTATGACCGCGTGGTCCAGCTGCTCAGCGCTGCCCAAGAGAAGTAAGTCATGGCTTAAGTCATGGCTTGAGCCTTGGCATAACGTAGGATGCTGCAGGAGATAGGTGCAGGCATGCTTAAACACCTTTCCTCTTGTGTCCATAGAGTTGAGGTGGCCACGCACCTCGAGAGGAGCCTCCAGCAAGGCCGAGACCTGCTCTCTACCTATGAGAACAAACTGGTTATAGATGACACGGTACCAGAGGATTTGCGGGTGGTGGACCGTAAGAAAGAAGAGCTGCTGGTGAGTGTTGCTTCCAGCTGGTTTTCTACCTTATTGACACGCTCCACAAACAAAAGTCCTTCCCAAAAGGTGGGGTAACTGCTGCTCAACCCACAAGCTTGAATCGATTGGCAAAGGGATGGCCTCCCCCAGCTGGAGATGAGACCCCACGTTAAGTGCAGTGATCCCCACCTGCTTTAAATGCAAAACTGTTCCATCCCCAAACCGGAAACCAAATGCCAGTTGAATGCTTGTGATTTGACGGAAAGACTAATGGAGAAATGAAGCATAAAAATGGTCTGGGGAAAAGCGACACAGAGGCGTGATACTTGAAAGAGATGGACCTAGCATGGCTTTGAGAACAGCTGTCGCTAGGAAAAGCTACCGACCAAAATCGGCAATCCTTGTGCTATAGAAAGGCCAAGAACTGGCTAGGCCAGAATTTTCTATCCTCCTTCAGCTTTTCCATCAAGTTCTCAAGTTCAGACCATCACAAAAAAAGCTTTCACAGCTGCTTCTGGAGCTGTTGCACTGGCAGGAATGGGGTTTGAGGCTCACATGAGGAGCACCAAATATTTTGCATGCAGTATGCTCGTTTTTAAAGATTAACAGGCAGAGAAGGGAGCGGGAGCTAGCTTTTCTCCCCATCAGGTTCACCAGACGGTTCTGCTTACAATGGAAGCCTTTGACCTGCTTTTCTCCACAACTCATAGCACTACTGCAGCTCAGCCGTTCCTTCGCATCCTCTGTAGCTCCAGCGCAGTTGCTGGAGTTGATGAGGAACAGTGACCGAAGCCCAGAGAATCCCTCTCTCCTGGTTTTTTTTCCCCACAGGCCATGGGCACTGAGCTCCAGTCCAAAAGGTTCCTGCTCAATGAAGCAGAGCAGAACTTGCTAAGGACGAAGACGTGCTCCAACGCCCTGGCCAGCAAGTTCCAGGAGCACTGCCCCGACATCGAACGGCAAGAAGCCGAGCTCTACAAACTCAACCAGCGCTTCAACAACCTCAGCAAGCAAATCGACCACAGGTAAGAGAGAGGAGAGGATCTAGCTAGGACTGGACCAGCCTGGAGAGCCAGGTTGTCTACCGTGGAGTTGGAACCACACTGGATCTGGAAGAGGCATAATCACCATCATGGGCACGAGGAGTTGCAGAAGGGCTTCCAGGGAGGGCTAAGGAGGAAGAGAGAGAGATTCTTGGCATGCGCTGGCTGGGTAGATCTGGGCAGCCTTTAGGATTAAGTGCTCTTGCAACAGAGATGGGGATTTTGGCAGGAGAAGACCTCTGGCTCAAATCTGTGTCTTTAGGGAGCAGGGGAAGCGGGGATGGGTTAAGAGGTGTTTGCAGAAGACACGAGAGATACCATAGTACTGAAGCTGAGCCGATTGCCCCCACAGAACGCAGACCCTGCAGAAAGCCAAAAGCGCCTATTCCAACTACCGCACCAACTATGACAAAATCAACCAGTTCCTGTGCAACATACCTAACTACGAGCCGCAGGAGACCGACAACATCCAGCAAGTGGAAACGAAGCTGAAGAACCAAGCGGTAATTCTTTGTGAGAGCGCTCTGGGCTCCACGGGGAGAGGAGAAGGAACAACGCTAAAAGATAAGGAGTAGCGTTCAGATAGCTCCTGAACATAAACCAGATAAATATAAAGACTTATTAGCTTCATTTATTTTTACGCTGTGAGGTCCCACTGTCCTACCTGTGCCTTGTTTACACAGAGCAGGGCAGCTCAAGAAGGTCGTTATTCTCAGTCTTGTAATTTTAATGGCACAAAGGCTGAGCGAGGCGTTTGGATTTTGTGTTCCCTTTGACCCGTATCTCTGTGCACGCCAGGCGCTCCTCAGTGACATCGCAAGCAAGGAACAGGAGGTGCAGAAGGTCTCCGCCACAGCTCAGCAATACCAGCAGGCAGTGAAGGTAAGGACTGCAATTCTGCCGGGGGGAGAACTTTAACATAGAATCATAGAATAGTTTGGGTTGAAGGGACCTTTAAAGGCCATCTGGTCCAACCGCCCTGCCATGAGCAGGGACATCTTCAACTGGATCAGGTTGCTCAGAGCCCCGTCCAACCTGACCTGGGATGTTCCCAGTGATGGGGCAGCCACCACCTCTCTGGGCAACCTGGGTCGGTGTCTCACCACCCTCAGTGTCAAAGATTTCTTCTTAATATCTACTCTGAATCTCCCCTCTTTTAGTTTAAAGCCATTACCCCTTGTCCAAGGGCAACAGGCCCTGCGAAAAAGTCCCTCCCCATCTTTCTTATAAGCCCCCTTTAAGGGGGGGGGCATTGAAATGCCACAATGAGGTCTCTCCAGAGCCTTCTCCAGGCTGAACCCCCCCAACTCTCCCAGCCTGTTCTCCCAGCAGAGGGGCTCCAGCCCTTGCAGCATCTCCGGGGCCTCCTCTGGTCCGGCTCCAACAGGTCCATGTCCTCCTTGTGCGGGGACCCCCGGAGACGGAGGCAGCACTGCAGAGGGCTCTTGGAGCAGAGGAGAGGGGGCAGAATCACTCACATCCTACAAGAAGCCACCTAACGAAAGCCTAGTGCCCTTGCTCAGTCAACTGATGAGCTACATCCAGGTTAGATCTGCTCTGACGTTGACATCAAGTGGCCATTAGCGTGGCAACTGGCCCAGATTTATTGTCTGTGAAAGGAGGGTTTCCATGCCAAGCCCAGCATCAGTAAGGGCACTGGAAGGTCTTTGCCTGCAGCTGCGCTGTCACGGTCACAGGACAGTACCCGACTCAGAACCTTGCTGGGAGGTCCTGCCAACAGTGCTCCACATCCCACCATCCTCAGCAGCTCGCCTAACACACAGGTCAAGGGTGGAAGTCATTGGAGCCAGGGTTTAGGAGGGACCTGTGCACGGAGGAGACCCAGTAATCTCACTTTCCTCTTGGGAACTTCTTCCCACAGGACTACGAGTTGGAAGCAGAGAAGCTACGGTCCATCCTCGACCTAGAGAACGGCCGGAATGGGTACATGAGCAAGAAGCCCAGGCTCCAGTCTCCAGCCGCAAAAGTGAAAGAGGAGGTAAGGAAGAGGTGACCTACAGAGAGCTAAAGCAGATGAAAGCTCATGGGACCAACGGGGATTTTGCAAACAGATTTACTGTCAGTGACCGTGGTCCCAGAGGGGACTACAGGGGAGGGCAGAGAATCAGGGGAGGAAGGAATTTTTCCATCATTCTTTTGATCACCCATCAATTTTTTGGGGGGGCTGGGCTGGCCAGAATGTGAGAGGGAAAATGCTGGATTTTAGCACTTTGGGAGAAAAGCCAAAAACCTGAAAGTTTTTCCCCTCTCCAGACTTTCAAACAGCGAGTGAGATTTCACCGCCAAAGACCGCACGCTAGATAGAAATACTTACAGCGAGAGAAGGCCACGAGCTACTTATTTACGCAGGATCTGTTTGCTAACTGCCCCAAACTCATCCTGCCTGTCGAGGCAGGCAGAAGTGTCCACCTGGTTCTTCCTTGCCTGCATCTCTTTTTGCACATCTTGAGTAGGAAACATACAGTAGGACCATGACTTTGCATGTGTGCACGAGAATCGCTCTTCCTCCTCCGAAGCTTGGCAGATCCCCGCTGTAGAAGGCTTTCAGGAGAGCACCCAGGGTCACATCTTCAGGACCTGGCCATTGTTTCTATTCAGCAAGTCTTGACCAAGCACCCCTGGTTCCACCACCTTTTCTCAATGCATTTTCGTTCCGTAGGAAGCTGTCCTGGCGGCCAAGTTCACCGAAGTGAACGCTGTGAACAAACAGAGGCTGCAGAACCTGGAGTTCGCTCAGAGCCTCCTGCGGCAGGTAAGCGATCACCAGGAGCAACGCGATACCGAAAGGACAGTCGTGTAAATAATATACACGCGCGCCTTTGCTATTGCAAGTTGAACTGGAAACACATCTAGCTAGCGTTTCGTGCCTCCAAAATCATTCACCAGTAGACACTTAAAGCAGATAGATGACCCTATGTGCTTCCCAGTCCCACCCCGCACTCATCCAAGGAAGCTCCACATCATTTTTAACACTCCTTTTGCCAAGCCGGTGCTAGAATTAGCGACCCCGTGGCTACAAGCTTTGTTCTGCCAGCAACAGCCGTCGCAGAAAGCATTTCTCGGGCTGGGAATCCACAGAGCAGTTCAAGAGCCACCTCTTTGCAAATACCCCCACCCCTGTTCAGTGTTTGGAAAAGGCAACCTCCACTAACCGAGCCCAACATCCTCCAGGCGTTTAGTCCCAGGAGGCACTGAAAATAAGCACCAAAAGTATGATTATTTGGGGTATTTTTGACTATGTGTTCTTTTTTCAAACAACAGCAACCAGAGGTTCAAGTGACACAAGACTCCGTCCAGAGCAAAAAATCCGTAAGGCCCGTGGAAGAAGTCTGGAAGTTGAAGAAAGAGCTTGAGGATGAGACTCAGCGTCGGCAACAGCTAGAAGCGGAGATCAAAGCCATTCAGAACAACATTGTCCACCTACAAAACCAGAAGCCCCAAGAAACCATTATTAAGAAAGAACTGCTGAAGAAAGTGCCCGACCCTCAGCTGGAGGAGAGCTTCCACAAACTGCAGCAAAACCTGGCAGAGGAGCAGCGCAAGAACCAGGTGCTCCAGGATGAGCTGGAGGCTCTTAAAATCAGGTTGCGCGTTTTGGAGCACGAGAAGAGGGAAGGAGGGCAGGAGTATATCGTGAAAGAAGTACTGCGCATTGAACAAGATAAGGCTCAAGCTGATGAAATCCTGAAGCTCAAAGAAGAATTGGAAGAGCTCAGGAGGCAGGAAGGAACCAGAGAGAACGAAGTCGTCCTTTTACGCCAACAAATTGCTGTGCTGTCCAGCGAGAAGAACAAAGAGCAGGAGAAGGTAACGGAGAAGGAGGTGCTGAAGCTGCAGAATGATCCCCAGCTGGAGATGGAATTCCGGATGTTGCAAGAGAACAAACAGAGGGAGAGCGCTCTTCGGCAGAAGCACGAGGAAGAGCTCAGCTTCCTCCAGGACAAGCTCAAACGCCTTGAGAAGGAACGGGCCATGGCTGAGGGCAAAATTACCGTCAAGGAGGTGCTGAAGGTAGAGAAAGACTTAGCCATCGAGAGGGAGGTGAACGAGCTCCGGCGCCAGTACGAAGACGAGAAGTCCAAGGGTCGTTCCAACGAGCGGGAAAAGGCTGAGCTGCTCAGGAAGATCCAGCTGCTGGAGGAAGAGAACTCCAAGGTGGTCGTCCAGGAGAAAGTGCGTGAGATTGTGCGCCCAGATCCCAAGGCTGAAAACGAAGTTGCCAACCTTCGTTTGGAGCTGGTAGAGCAGGAGAGGAGATACCGAGGTGGTGATGAACAGCTGAAGAGCTGTCAGAATGAGTTGGCCGCTCTGAGGAACAGAGGGCCACTGGTAGAAGTCAAAGAAGTCATTAAGGAGGTCATTAAGTACAAGAATGATCCAGAAACCGAAAAGGAACTACAGCGACTCCGGGAGGAAATCATAGAGAGGACGGGAGCAATTGAAAGAGCCGATCTTGAGATCTACCAGCTGAAACAAGAGATACAAGCTTTGAAAGATACCAAACCTCAAGTGCATACCAAGGAAGTCGTTCAAGAAATTCTGCAGTTTCGGGAAGACCCCAAGACTAGAGAGGAGGTAGAGTCTCTGAGAGTGCAGCTAGCAGACGAACAGATGAAACATATTGACCTGGAGAGGGAGCGGCTACTCCAAGAAGAGAAAGTAAGACAGAAGGAGGAAGAACTTTCCCAGGTGAAGGAGAAAGTGGTCCAACAGGAAGTAGTGAAGTATGAGCAAGATCCTGCCTTGAAAGCTGAAGTCAACTCCTTCTCTCAGAGCATTGAGAGCGAGCTGAAGCAAATTGATTGCCTCCGTGAAGAACTCCGCAAGCTGCAGAGGCGGCGGTCTGAGCTAGAGCGTCAGCTAGAAGAACTTGAGAAGGAGAGACAAGCCCGCAGAGAGGCTGAACTGGAGGTGCAGAGGCTGAAGATTAGGTTGAACGAGCTGGAAGAACAGGAGAGGGAGACAACTGAACGCGTGACTGTGAAACAGAAAGTGATCCTTCAGCAAGATCCCCAGCAAGAGAAGGAGCATTCCCTCCTCAAGCTGGAGCTAGAAGAAGAGAAGCACCGGAGACAAGTCTTGCAAACTGAACTAGAAGCCCTGAGAAAGAAGCTCCTTTCTTTGGAGAAGATGGAGGTCAAAGAGAAAGTGGTCTTTTCAGAGAGCGTCCAAGTGGACAAAGGAGACACAGAGTACGAGATTCAAAAGCTGAAGAGCAATCTGGAGGAAGAAAGCAGGCGTAAGAGGGAGCTAGATGCAGATATCAACCGCCTCGAAACCAGGCTGTCCGAGGTGGAATTCAACAACTCCAAGTCCTCGAAGGAGCTAGACTTATTAAGGGAGGAAAACCACAAACTACACCTTGAGAAACAGAACCTGCTGATGGAAACAAGGAGGCTGCAGTCAGAGATTGAACTCACAGCGACAGAAGCTCGGGATCTGAGAAACATGACCCATGTGGACAGTGGAATGAACCTGGACTCCAGATTCCAAGCTTTGGAAAGAGAGTTAAATGATCTGAAGCAGTTATCCAGAGAAAAAGATGCGGAGATCGAGCAACTCCAGAATCGCCTCAAGACAGTGGCTATCAAGAGGGAGCAAAGAGAGAACCACCTGAGGCGCTCCATTGTGGTCATCGACCCCGATACAGGAAAAGAAATGTCTCCAGAAGAAGCTCATGTGCTCGGCCTCATTGAATGGAGCTTGTTTGTCAAACTGAAGAGTCAGGAATGTGACTGGGAGGAGATCTCAATAAAGGGTCCCAATGGGGAATCGTCTGTCATCCTCGACAGAAAGTCCGGTAGAGAGTTCTCAATTGAGGATGCCTTGAAGAGCGGAAGGCTAACCATGGCTCAGTACAACAGTTACCTCAACAAGGAGATGTCGATCCAGGAGTTGGCAGTCTTGGTGTCCGGAAGTAATTACGCAGCGCTCCCTCCACTTTAGAAACTTTTCTGAAGAGCAGCTAGGCAGAGCTGCGCCACTCGTTAGACTACCAGATCACTGCAAACCCTTGCCCTCCTATGCGTCTTCCAAAATGCTACAGCCTCTGCCCCAGCCACGCTACCAAGCCACGCCGCTTGCTGTCCATACACTGTGGGAAAAGCACCACCAGTAGTGGGAAACATGTTTGTCGGGACTACAGCAAAAACTTCTCCCCCCTCTTCATCCCTACCGAATCACTCAACCTAACGGAAACCAAGACAAAGCGCCTTAGGACAGTGAAGTGCCTAAAGTCCAAAGACTCAGTAGAACCTGCAGCTTCCTCCACATATACTCACGTAGTCGCCTAAAAAACTGCATACAGCAGTCATTAGAGAGACTGAAGGTCAAGATGATTCCGAGGTGACCAGCAGGAGCTGGTTACGGCAGCTACATGTTGGTAAGCCAGACAGTTTCATCGTGGACAACCGACTCAGTGATGGGATCGTCCTCTGAGGAAACCAGCTCTGGAAAAACAAAGGTGTGCTACACATCTCCATTCAGTATCACCACGCGAATACCGAAACACCATCACTTTGTTCACCTACGTGCCTGTGCTGCTGGGGAAGAGTGAAGCAGGTGTAATTTGACGGCGTCAGCCGTAGATCCAGGAGGAGCATTCGTACACCCCCAAGGTCACCGAGAAGTTACGCGAAGAGGTGGCAGTATTGCCGAACACAAGCGGGTAGTGTAAAGCATGCGACTGTAACCAAACGCAGAGCGCCTTCGAAACACAGTTAGCTCACCTCACGGTTAAAAGCCGTTTGTGCTGGTATTTTACTGGGCGGAGTTAACACACAGCTACATGTCTCATTTACTTGTGTAAGGGAATGGGAAATAGAGGGGAATTCTATTTATAGCACACAAAATAAAAATGCAGTGGTTCCAATCAGAAGTTGGGTTTTCTTTCTTCGTTTTGGCCGTCTCTTCCTCTTGGGCTTTACAGAAAGACGCCATTTCAGAGTCAAAGTGAAAAAAATAAGACCGTTCATTTTAGCCGTTGACTCTTTTCCAAGAGGGAAATTGCTGGAGCAGCATTAGAGGCAGGAGTAATTAGCAGCATTAGACTGGAGTGAACTGCACTGACAAATGGGACTGCAGCTGCAGGAAAACAGGGAATTGCACTGGGATGGCACCAGGGGCTTCCGCATCTAGAGAGCATCCGGTTCCTTTTTCCCAAATTTCAGCTAAGACGCGAACCCCGGTAAACTCTGCCCTCAGCAAAAGCAGCGGTGAGCATTCCCCGCGCAGCCATCCCGGCTTTGGGGATCAACACCGCTCTTTTACCTTTGTGAATGAAGGATGAGGCGGGATCCCACCGCTGCTCCAGGGTCCGAACCCCATGTGCTCTTTCCAGATGTCAAACTTCAAGCGTCAGCAGGAGCACATCAAATGAGGACGTGCAGCTCTACCCCCGCAACGGCCAGAAACAGAGCTGCAATTTACTTACTGCGCAAGAGACTTTAGTTGAAACAGTAAATAATTCATTAGTCCAGAAACGAGATGATCAAGAGGTGATCATCTAAGCTGAAAGGCAAATTCTTGAAAACAAAGTCCTGAAACTAGAGGGAAGGAGATGGAAAAAAGCATTTTGGAAACTTTGAAACAATTTATTCGGTTGTTCTGTACAAGATTAACAGTTTTCATACCACCCCCGCTATCTTCAGCAAGACAGTCCCAACACACACCAAAAAAAAAAAAAAATTTAAAAAAATAATATAATAGTAAACCGCAGCTCTTACACCCAAAAGGAACTGCCATACTAAGTGCGTGCCGCGGGAGCCTCACCTCCCCACGCCGTCACGAAAGCGGTGCAAGTTGCCTCGTCAAGGCAGAGACGCCCGACTCCCGGCTCCCCACGGGTCGCGGCGCGCTCGCGCCTTGCTGCGACTCTGCTCCATCCCATTCACTCATTCATTATAGCGTGTAAAGAGAAAAAAAAAAAAAAAAAAAAAACCCCAAAAAAAAACCCCACCAACAAAAAAAGAATTATCCCACAGAATTTCCACCAAATAAACATTTCCCTGAGGCAAGAGGCTTCGCTAAATTGCTAGAAGGAGGGCGTTCTGCTCTGGCCACGCACGCGGGTGCTTCCCAGCAGCAGCATTCAAGTGAAAGCAAAGAGAGGGAGTAGAACCAGTACCTCGAGTCACTCGCGGAGAGTCCCTATCCTGCCCGGTGTCTGCACGCTCCTTCAGCTGCCAGGGGAAGGCAAAGGTGCAAAGTACCTCTCAGGATCAGACCTTCCAACGGGAACCATGCGACAACATCCACTGCTCAGAGTCCATCCGTAACCGCTGTGCTTAGTTTTAATAACACGAGTTCTGTCTTTGGCTCTTTCGCTACACCCTAGGTATGTTCTGTAAACAAATTTTAAATCTCAGCTGTGGGTTTTTTTTTATTTTTAAACCACAAACAATGCACTGATCTTGGGAAATTATGCATCAGCTCAAACTGAAAACGGTCCATCTTGGATCTTACCAAAAATGGGGAAAACTAAAGCAGATATTTGCTGGTATACTCAGTGTCAGCATCCTTCCCCAAAGCTCAAGAAGGAAGGCTGCAAGCTTTTGCTGGAAATACCAGTAAAAATCTGTGCGGATCAGCACTACTACTGCACGATTCAGACGTGGCTGTGGGGGCCTGAGAAGAGGCAGACTGGGGGAAGAGCAGAAAAATCAAACCCCATAAAGCTCGGTTGGCACCACAGCCTGCCCTTTTAGCTACGCACAGCTTGAAAGGGCGCGCTCAGGAGAAGTATTTAGGTCTAAGAGTTTAAAAACAAAACAACAACAACAAAAAAAAACCAAAAAAAACCCCCAATTCTAGATGGTCCCCGTTCCTGCAGCTGTGACGAGCACATGATCCTAGTGCAGAAATCATCGAGGAGAGCAGTATTATTCTCTGGAATTCATTTGACTAGTAGTGACCTTGGTTAATCTAGATCATTCCCTCTGCCCACCAAAGAGATCATAACTGTCGACCCGAGGAAAGAATGGCTTTAGGGGAGGGTCTGGAACCCGCTTGCACAAACTCGGCTAAGAACTGGTGCTCTTGCTGGATTTGGTACTGTGTTCGCAGTCACCAAAACACCATTGAAGTCCAGACAGTGCAGCTTTTTTTTTTTTTTTGATGTGCAACCATAAAAAGCTCTATTAAATAAAACAGAATACATTTTAAATACAGAATGATTAAAAAAGGGTTGAGGAGCACACAAAATAGGGCTGAAATGTGTGTCACTAGTCCATTCTTGCTCCACCATAAAAGGCACTGGAATTATGTCTTCCTATACACGTGACATGCCGAGAAGTGTCCCATTCAATCCAATGCGTTCGATGGTAATGAGGATAAAACTGAGCAGGAGGAAAAACAAAAATCCAAAACCCAAAAGAAGTTGAATTCTCCAAAGTCAATGACTGCATCTAAAAACATCTCTCTAAAGAGTCTTCCTTCTCTCCAGAGGGGAACATCAGGTGGTTTGTTAGATTCACCACACAGGAAATGTTAAAGTCTTCCAATTAACTGTAGCACAGTTTTATAGTACAATTGAAAAGTTCGTCAAGGGTCTTCAGAAAGCACTGGCAGTGCTAGAATTTACCCAAGTAAATCCAAAGCAGAAGAAAGAAGCACCTTTCGTACCCTCCACTGGGAGACCAAGGAGGTAACTGGACTTGGAGGTACTTGGCAGATACGAGACACAGGCGGGTGGGAATCCACTGCAAGAAAGCCAAAGCCACCCGAGTCTCCCTGCGAGTTCTAGCTCCTGCCAGTGCCAGGGAATGCGCGAAGGGCAGCAGCAATAAAACAGTGCTACAAAACGTTTCTCTCATTAGGGCAATGGCTCAAGGCGGGCCTTTGCGTGGGGCTTAGCTCCCAAAGCCTCCGAGCAAACGCACCAATGAGCTCCTCGTTGCGGTTCAGTCTCTCCAGTTATCGTGAGGAAAAAATAAAAAAATACAAACCAACCGGAAAAAAAAAAAAAAAGACACAGCCGGTATCCAAAGTTCATGACCTGTTCCTCTTGGTTTTATCCTATGTGTGCTCGAGCTCCCCTCCTTGCAGACGTCACAACTTGCGCTGCTGTGCATTGGACCCTTTGCCGTGAAGCTGAGAAGCATCTGAAAAAAAATAAAACCAAGTGGGAAAGGGCTTCGGCATCGGCTCCGCGGAGCTGCGTGCAGCTGGCACAGCCACATCTCTCCGCTCAGAAAGACCTCCGGTTCCCTTCCAGCACCGAGGAGTCAGGGGGTGAAAGGATGCGCTCGGAGACATCTCACAAGCGGGAGCAGCCCTGTCTCTGCAGCTGAGTAAGGGTCTCCTGGGGCCTCCCAGCAAAAGCACCACGGCATAGATTCAGGTCGCTGGTTGACTAGCTAGCCCACGCTCTTCTCTAAAAGCCACCCGAGCATGTCTCCCCATCTAGGAAACCAGAAATACGTGGTACTTGCTGCCTTGCATCTAATTGTGGTCTGAAATAACACCGTTAGTACACCTTTGCCATTGTAACGAAGGCGTTAGGTGCCCGCTGATAGCGACAGGAATCAGAGGAATCTATCCACTGAAGTAAGAGAGAGGAACAGACGTGGAGGGAAAAGAGAAAATGCACTGAAGAGAGAAAAAGGAAGGAAGTTTACTGAAGCAGAAGTTTTCCAGGAGCAAACAGAACTACCACCAGACCGTGATGAAGGAATGGGTGTACCGAGAGGTGCAGTTAAGCAGCAGCGGCACTGAGCAGTGGAGCAGCAGCTTCTTCTCCAGGACAAGGACAGTTCATTCCATGCAAGAGCTCAGGCTCGGCACGTCACGTTTCTGAAGCGAGCAGGCAGAACCATCGCCACAGCACCAGCAAACGCAGCAGTGACAACACACAAGCAAGCACTGGATGCTCCTTGCTCAGATGCTTTTTGATGAACGCTGGGATAAGCACTTTTACTCAAGCCATCAACGTTTCCTTCCATTTGTAG